TTTTTTTGCAGGAGAAAACTTTTCCAGTTTAGGAATCTATCACCTACACAGAAATCAGAGGTGATTGTTCTCATGTAAGTGTGTGTATAAAATGGAGGGGATCAGTGAGCAAAATCTTGACCCCTGCTCAAATCAGCAGTGAAAAGYTGGCATTCTATTTATTGCCATAATTTCCATTTGCAGAAAAAGATAGTAATGACTAATGARTTCTATAGTACATTTTTTAATTACATAGTGTAACAAGCATTTAGCTTTCTTGCAAGCTTAATTGTATTTTTCATCCTCAACATGTCTTTGATTCTGAAAATGTGRTGATAACTAATTTATTATTAATTCTACACTTGATCAGGAAAACAATCCATTTCATGCAAACTTCTGAAGTTTCCATTTTTTATTTTGGAAAAAAAACCTGAGCAGGAGCCCTATTTTTAAAAGCACTTTACTGAGACAGCCAAGCCTGGACAGTGGTAATGCCCCACTCCACCCAGTTTGTCAGGATAATTGGATTGATATTCTCTGACCATTCTTCTTTTTCCCCCTCTCTCTTTTTTTGAATCTAATTTTAACAGTTTACAACACCTTTTTTTGAACCACTCTTGTTCCAGTATCATATTTTAAAAYTTTAGTAATAAATTTAGAAAAATGTCAAACACAAAATAAAAAGTTTTCTTGGAAGTAATTTTTATCAATCAGAAATTATCCCTTTGTTCTTCCCACTCCTCCCCCATCAGGACTCTCAGAATCTGTTACTGATTTAGCTTTCATTTAAGACAAACATCTTAGAAGGAATCAAACTTGTGGCATTTCTTACCAAGTAAAATCCAATTCAGAAAAGCAATATTTCATGKAAGTAAATCTAATAGATACAATTTTTCACACAACTAAGCACCATTTAAAAAGCAAAAACAATCAAAATGCTAAAGCATGTCCAAGTCAGCTTTCTAATCTGTCAACTCYATAAATATAAAATTATCAATATGCARTCAAATACTCACCATTGCTRTCAAATCCATGAGTAAACTCATGGCCAACAATCACTCCTATGGCACCATAACTTAATGACCTGWAACACAAAGAACTTTCCTCAGGAAGTGTTCACTGTTGTGAATATTTGAGGAGAAAAAACCCATTATTGATTTTAAAGGGGGTGAGGAGGCAGGATCTAGAAATCACACCGACACTATTTTGACTTAAAGATGTTGAAATGCTTAATGTCAAATCTTTGTTTTAAAGAAGCATTTAATCTAAAACTTTGAAAGCATTGGGATGGTTCGCTCTTCCAATCAAATCTCTCACCAGCATCATATGAGCTCCAAATATCTCCTTCAGCTGACTAAATTGTGCAAATTCTGACTGGGAACAGAGTCATAGATGTAACTACTCTGAAACAAAGACTACATTTTGTAAAGCATTAGCAGATCTCCATTCAGTTTTAAAAAGAAATTCCCTTGCACCAGCCCTGGAACAGGACATGAAACACAGTCAGATCGTATTACACCCCAGAAAACAGAGTAAAAAGAAATATTTTGTATTCCTGGTTGGAAATTAATTATATCTTGCTTATTATATTCCTCAAAAAACCATGCTTTTTGGGGAAATAGAGATAAAAGAGGGAAAAGCTCATGGCTTTATGCAGTGGATATTGTGGGGGTAGGTGATCTAGTCAAAGCATCTTTGATTTGTTAAGTTAGTTTTTTGTGATTTTAATTATTGCAGCTGTTGAGGCACTCTAAAGTAGCTTATAGTATTTCTAACACAACATACTGACATAGAAGAAAAGCAGAGGTTTTTGAAAAACATGTTATTATTGGACCTAATGATCCATAGTGCACTAATTGCTCATCTCAGTCATGCCCAAAAAGTATTATATCATTTAATTCCCTCTGCTTCCATGAAAATGCTTCACTTTGTTTTTTTTGTTTCCTGAAAGGCACTTTGCAAGTGCTTCTCTACTTTAGCCAAATCTACAAATCTGTTACAAACCTTTTCAAAAAAAATTGCAAGTTAAAATTATACATTTCAGCAATGGAAATATCATCCTTTTCTGTGACAAATTTGTAATCTTGTGTGGCACACAGTGATAATTACCCATAATAAATACACTATGTAAGACTTGTTTTCCACATCTRAAGTAAAGGGGTCATACAGGATCTTTTGCAGCTGGAGAAGCATAAAAATAATGGCACAAAACACATAAAGAGATCAAGAAAAAAACCAAGCCCTATTATTAAATACACCTTATTTTTTTTCTAAGKTTCTCTGTCACCATGAGTGGCAGGGACAAAGAACAGGCTGGTGTTCTGGCACTCCTACARCTTTCCTTAGCTCCAAAAGATGGGGTGAAGTTTGTGGTGAATTTTGGCCTTTGAATCTATGAACCCCCCTCTGCATTTTGTCCAACTAACCAACATTTTTTACCAGAAATTTTCCCAGATCTGTTCATGCTTTTCACTTCTGGGCACAGTTGGACAGAGATGGAAGGGACTAGGGGCAGCCCAGCTGGTTCCATATTAAAGGGGAACTTTGTGGGGTCTGGGAAAGCTCAAAGAATTGTAGGGACTCTATAAGATCAAGTAGTTTGAAGCCACTATTTCATTATATCTGACACTGAAGGCTCAGAACTGTGATTGCTGACATTTGAATATTATTTTATTTCATGTACTGAAATGTAAAAGTGACAAGTGAGCTTCCCTTTGTGCAAATAGATGTAACTGGTATTTTATATTCCTGATTAGCAATTAATTATATCTGCCTTATTATATCCCAATAAACATGTTTTGGGGTGAAATAGGGATAAAAGAGGGAAAGACTCAGGGTTTTATCCAGTGGATATCATGGGGGTAGGTGATCAGATGTAACTGGTTTTTGGTTGTTATGCTGGAATTTGACACTAAAATGCCACATTAATAAACATTAAATATTTGCAAAATCCATTTTTCAGCAAGCACTGGTCACTTTTTGATGGTTTATCTGTTCCAATGCCATGTATTGTTTCTTCCAAGCRGACAGAAAACATCCAGAATATTTCAAGGACAAAAGCAATCTGTTGTCTGATATAAACCAGCTACATTTGTTTACTAAATTTCATTTTGATACGTACTCAAGCAAAACCAATTTAAGCTAAGGTAACCTTTAAAGAAGAGAAATGAGCAAAGTATAATACTTTGAAAGAACCACAATTTTATCACTGTGGCAGAATACAGAGAAGGTCAGAATACAGAGAAATCTCTTCAGAAAGCAAAGGTGAACACAGGTCTGCAATAACTGTAACTCAAAATAAGTTCACCTTAAGAAGAAAGGACTTTCTTCTATCCTCAATTACTGCTCACAAAGTCACCTGGCCCATAAGAATTCTCTTTGAATGCAAATTAATTTGTTCCTAAATTGAACGTGTCTTTCTATGTAYATTGCGAAATTTCCTGTTTACAAGGACACAATCCAGATTGGATGATGGCAAACACAAAATGTTCAAAAAGTTTGATTTTTTTTTTTTTTTTTAACAAAGATTTATTAAGGATATGTTTTGCCAGTAACTGGTTTTATATAACTGCAACATAACTTTCAGAAACTGCCATCAGAAACTTTTCATGGTCTTATCCTACCCTAAAATAGAAAGCTATTGAACTGCACAGAAGAAGTGATTTTTCAAAATTAAAAGTATGTGACCTATAATTACCCTTCCTCAGCCACACTGGCACATGGGCCTGCTCAGGCAATCACTTATGCAYATGAAGATATTCTCATGCACCTCGACAGGCACAGACAAGGGTCCACTGCTAATCTTAGATATTAGCAGAAAGYGAACAATAAACTGATAATAATTGGCTTCTCAGGGTATTCACTTCTGTTCAGGAAGTGTTAGCTACCTGATTTACAATTCCTTTTAATACCTGCCATGTGCACACTGCTGCATCTGCGTGCTGTAGCATTGAAACACTTCCACTTGGTGCACTTAATTAGCAATTCCTGTGAGAAATCAGTCATCAGTTTAAGAMAACAGCAACACATACGGCTCCCAAGGGTAAGAAAAAGTATCACACASAGCAGCACTTCTCAAAGTCAGCTCCTTCAGCAGCAAAAGCAGGATACAGCAGGAGAGAACACACAACCCAAAGGCCAAGTTTGCCCTACAGAAGGATAACACAATTTTCCTGTGCACTATTTTTTGTTTGCCTTCAGCACCACAGCTTTCTTCTCCCCGCCCTCTGTTTTGTCCAAATGCATTTGCAATACCTGTCCCTGTTATTCCTCATTTCCAGGTGGATGAGGYTCCCTGGTCCACTACTTACCTGGGATACTTTGTTCCCCAAAAGAAAGGCTTTTGAAGTTCTCCTGCTGGGAATCCTGAAATAGCAAAAAAAAAAAGAAAAAGAAAATTTTTTAAAAATAGTGAGGTTAATTCAATGCAGCTGAATGGCCATCAAAATGCCCAAGGGTTTCAATTTTATGACCTCATTTGTTTGGTTTCAGAAGGTTTTGTGAGGGGGAGCTTTCCCTCAGGTGGTGGTTTCAGAATGAAGTAGAGAGGATCTTGGAGAGGCAGCAGAGATCCTGTCACACACATCTGAGTGAGTGAGTGAGTGTGAAAAAAAACACCTCACATTTCCCCTGAAGGATACTGGATCACCCACAGATCAAAAGAGAATACATACAACAAATGCAAGAAGAATTAAAACAACATTAGTTTAGTGAGGCTTCAGTGCAGCAAGAAACAAGAAAGGGATAAAATTTAAGTTAATTCTATTTAATCTATGAAAAAGAAAGGTAAATGAACATACTTAGGCACTTCTTTTAAGGAAAATTGTAGATTATTAAGGCTGTAGGGTCAGTCTAGCTACAGCTATCCCCTGGCTGCTTCTGGTGAACTAACTAGTTGCCAAAAATCCATCAATGGAGACACTCTGGTGAGTGATGATCCACTGATGTTTCACATAGGAACCAAAATTCTTCCTCAGATTCAAAGTCACACATCTATTTTTAATTCCAGAGTGATATTTCAGTGCCAGGATATTGAAGACAGTAGGAGCTGCACACGGTAAAAGTTTAACAGCACAAAGCACTGCTAAATAAAACATACAGGGTGAAGAAATCACCTGAACACCCAGATCAACACAAAAACCATATTYATTCAATTCTAACCCTATTCATTTTTTTGCTGATAGATTGGTCATGGATTTCTTTATATCTGAGATAAGTTGTCAGGCGAGATCTTTGTCTTCTCTTCACAAAGTCTTTTAAAAACTCACTTTCAAATGAAAAGAAGAAGAAAAAAAAACAAAGCCCAAAAACCCAAACTAAACCCAGTATGCTGAGAGTAATTCACACCAAATGATGTAGCACATCCTCCTGGCCTGCCCAGCTGTTTTTTTTTTCTGTTGCTCCTCCATGGCTGCCATCATTCCCCATTTGCAATTAGCTTACAAAAAGTATGGGCTTCAAACTTATTTCCCAAGTGTTATTTGGGGTTTTTTCTTACTTCTCCAGATGTTGCTTTATTGTTTCAAGCACAGTATAATTTTTTTTCTAGCATTACAAACCATAATTTCACCAATGTCAAGGACAAAGTTTTCCTCATCTAATTCTCCTTTCCTCCCAGGGCACCGAGAAGATTTTTTATTATGCATGTTTTTAAACATATTAAACAGCAATGATACACTTATACAATACAACCTGATGAAATTTGTTTGTTAAGAGCTGTGTTCAGAGCTGAAAATCTAGTCTGAACTRGTTCCCTCCAAACAGTGAACCTCAGAAAAGGTTTTGGAATGATTAGGTTCTGCTAACTCTAAATGATCCCATCCCCACAACAACACATGAGAGGAACTGTGGCCAAAATGAATAAATGAGCCCATAGTGAAGGTGGTGTGGACCAAGGTAGCATGGTCACCCCACAAATCAGATTTAATGATCACACAATCCTTGTGCCTGTCACTGCASCAAGAGCCTATCAGGATCTTTTAAGGAGCTGCAATTATTTTGTCCAGGTAGAGACCTGTGTTGTGAATTTGCACTTGTCTGCAGTAGAGGTAATATACRTTATTTACAGCAAATTAGGTGCAAATCTTCACTCAGGCTTATCCAGCTACACTAAATGTGTCTTCATAGAACATTGCTGAAACACAATCAGCTGTGAGTTAAGCCATGAGGTAGTTTTCACTGAACAAGCCATGTGAGTGAATGGTGAGTAGTTCCTGAATCTGTACAACAGGTTGATAATTATTTTACTCAGAGTCAGGATCCATTTTAGATGAGCTATTACTGAGCAAAGTGCTGGTTGAAGGAGTGGATTCTGCTTCTGGACWTGCATGAAAACACCTCTGTAGTTTRGTGGCACTAAAGGAAGCTCAGGAAGTATTTTCAGGCCAAAGCAGAGTCAGAGGCCAGTAGAACTTAATACATATTTCAGAAAACCTCAGGAAACTGGAATACTGGAATACATTATCTMCAGTTTTGATTTTTGGTTTGTTTTTTTTGTTTTTTTTTTTTAGTTTGGTTGGTTGGGTGCTGGTTTTGTTTGTTTGTTAGTGGGTTGCTAAGAAAAAAAATCTAGTTTTAAAAGTGACTCTTGGGCAGCTAGTAAAGCAAATGGGTCCTGCTCTGCAGAGGAACTGAGGGTGCTTGTCCATTATTGCAGCAAAAGAAGGAACAGATGCACAGTTGGCAACACTTTTTACACAATGTCTCCTTCAGGCAAGCAACAACTACATCATCCTTGGGGGGAGCAWGGATAACAATGTCTTAAACCTAGAATGTCCTTGAAATTGTAACATGAGATTGATCACCAGTTTCTTATTTTGTGCTGATTTGAATCCCTCCATTTAAGTAATTCCGTTGGGAAGTCTGTTTCTTTTTTTGCTTGGCATGTTGCACCTAGAAGAATTAATGACAAAATCCACAGAGCTCATGGTAAACTRCAGAAGCAATAAATACTAATGGGATTATTTTTATGCCGCTGGAGTTCAAGCAGGCAAAGGACACATCTGAAGGAGTAAGAAAGACAGACTTTGGGGAATTTCACATCTTAAGGAATAGACACAGGCACTGGGAATGTATTTTGAGCTAACACTTGACCACAAATTTAGCCTGGGTTATACATCTTTTAAAGCTTTTTTTCCACCACACAGCTCCAGAAGAGCAACACAGGCTGACAGTCTCTCTCTTTGTACACATATTGCTAATTCAGGCTACACTCTAGGCCATGACTGACCAACAGAACAACAGGAATAAAACTCTGTTATCTTATTACAGACCCCTCACAAATCCACCTGCCATCATCAATACCTGGATTTGCGCAATCTGCTTTCACCTTCTCACMATCTACCTAAATTTGGGGCGATGCCACTGGGCTGCAGCATCATTCTGAGATGGGCACTGGTGCCACAGGAGCCCTGCTCTGAATTCAGGCTGTCACAGAACATCCATGTGTCCTACTGGGGGCACAGCCAGGCTAGATCATCCTCAGGGTGGGCTTTGTGCCACTGATCACAGCCCTTTAAACCCAGCAGCACACGAGGTTAGCAGTGCACCTCACTATCCAATCTTCAGCAATTTATATTTGAGCATGTTAGGGAAGAAAGTGCTGAAATTCTTGCTAAAGAATAAATCACATTCACAACTCTCTCTACATCCACTGAGMTGGTAATCTCATTGTAGAAAGCTGGTCAGGGAAGCTGTTTCCAGGATTTACTTTATCATGTACACAACTTGTAATTCCCTACATCTTCCTTCTTGAAGATAGCAGTGACATTTGCTGTCCTGCAGCCCTCAGGAACCTCCTCCAGTCAYTGTAGCCTTTCAAAGGTTACCAAGAGTGGCCTCACAATGATGCTGTGAGCTTGCACCCTGTCAGAGCCATGGGCTCTTGTATTTGTCAGTCTGTTCAAACATTTCCCAACCTGCTCYTCCTCCACAGAGGGTAAAAATCCCCTGAGTTACCATGTTCYCTGCCCTCATACAGCACTACATTTTCCCTCAAATTTCTGCTGCTGCAGCTACACTTGCAGAAATGTTTCCTCACATCCCTACCAGATTAATCTCCAGAGGGTTTTAGCTTTCCAAACCCCTCTGTCTGGACACTTGGACAGCAACTGTTCAACTTTCCTCTTAGTCATCTTATTGCTCTGGAATGCAGGGGCACTTCAAGCACTGAACTATGTCTTACTTCAGACATTTCACTCTGAATTTATGCTGATCCTGAAACCCTGACAGAACTCTCCCACACAGGACTACTTTTAATGAAATTGAATGTTTCTATTTCCATTTTATCCATGATATCATTTTCAGCATCTCTTTGCAGCAAGGTGCTGTAAAGCTTGTTAGAATGTATTTAAAATTCRAAGGATTTTTCCCCCTCTAATTTTAGAAGGGCTTTATTGTCATTAATAAATCCATTCACCAGCTAATATCTTTATGTTATTATTATATACCTTTGCAGGTGAATATCCTTACATTCAGTGTAATATTGCTAGTTTACCAAGAAGACACAAGTAACCACATTTGATCTGATAATTCCCYGAAATAATGCAGAGAAATAATGGATAAAGTAAACCAAAAACACATGAGAAGACTCACCAAGTCATGAGAAAATTTGGAGTTCGACTCGAAATATGAATTCAAATTTTATGGTTCAATTACATTAATAATTTATACTGCATGATGTTTTTAACTGAGCAAGGCAAAGCCTTATTCCAAATTAGTGCATTTACAGCTTCCAATAATGATGTTGGTTTGTTTAATGCAGAATCTGACAGGATGGTGAATCCCATATGTAAGTAACAGATATGGGAGACAGCTGTGCTAAACTGTGTGATATCCTGGGTACTCTGCCAATTGCTGTACTGGCAATTCTCACAAGTGTTCAAAAGCTGGAGCTTGTTTTTTCAAGTTTGAATGAATTCAACAATGAATTCAGATGTGGAGTTTTAAAGGGATAATAGATAAGCAGAAGACTAACTGCTAGTCAGTAATCAAAGAATATTGAATTCACATAAGGAATTAAAMATWAATACAGCTGGGGTATTGGATTTTTGTCTAAAAACAGCCCAAAGGGCAGGATACATTTGTTTAAAATAGTTCCACAGACTTCTGTTTGGACAACTGAATCTCATCCTGGTAATGGTTTGCATGTCCTCTTTGGGGTCTATTATCAGTCTCAATGGCAAGGGACTCCTGCATGTTTTATCTCAGATAAAACACGAGAAAACAGGAAAAACATATCAGACAACCAGATAAAACACATGAGAAAACAGGAAAACATATCAGACACTACAGAGCACCCCAGACAGCTTTGAGCATCCAAACATAGATGACAGAGACCAAACTCCCTGTCATTACATGGACTGAAT